AAAAATACATACGAATGCCTGCCCCCCCCAAAAAAAAACCGTGCGAAACGGGCCACTACGTCTGTCCCATCCACAACCGACGTGTGGGCCTCATTTTCCTTGGGCCCAGGGGAAGCGCCTTACCGGGCCCTATCCTTCCTTTCATAGTTATATAGAAGACTCAGCTCATCTGATTACACAGACCAACACGACTGGCAGAATCCTCAACAAAACAACTTTGACAGTTCGAAAGGAATTCATGGTCTGCATCATAAATTCTTCCCCCGACTACAACGTACGGTCATTATAGCTGTATCTAGACATTATAGCTGTATCTCGACGGAAAGATGCCTCAAATACAGCTATAATGACCGTACGTTGTATTCGGGGGAAGAAGGTAGGGTTGGTTTATGTAGCAGAAGTACGAGACATGGTCACCTTGAACCATCAGACTGCAGGATGATATGGACAAGGTTTGAACAGAGGGTGGAGTGAATGTGAGCAATGAGCGTCTGACAATCTAACATATGTGCCGCACAGATTCATGCATTCTTCACTTATGCTAAAGAAATTGATGTACTATAGTTCAAATTTCACTTCAATTGTGCGCGGGGGATGGTAATCACCTTTTTTCTTTTTTGGTTGACGTCTCTGGGAATTTTCCGCGCCAGCAAATATTAGCTTGGCGTGTTGGGAGTCCTGTGGCTGTACGTTTGGACTTTTTGCATGTTGGCTGATTGTGTGATGTGTGGGGGTGTGGGCTCTAGGAACGGAAGGCATCATGGGGTTCTTCTTTTGATTTCTTGCCTTTTGTGTCTATTGCACACGCCTCGCAGGCTCCTTTCTTTCTTTCCTTCTTCCTGTTAAACTGCTGATGTGTGCTGGGTAGCCCTGAGGCGTGGTCTGCGCATTCCTAACTCTTTGCTGATCTTGCACTATTTGCTACCTACTTGCACCAGGTCCTTGGCTTTCCAGGCATCCTCCCCCTGCCATTAACCTGCATACTATTTGATTCTGTGATTGTGATCCTTTTTCTCCCACAATGCCAATCTAGGCTATGAACCGGGTCGTCGGGGTCACCTTGGTGGGCCGCCCGGGCCACGGCCAGGGAAGGTTGATGCGAAAAGAAAATAAAAAATATGAAAAAAGTTAAAAAAACTATGTGATTGCAGAACAAATACTGAAATTCCTTACCAAATTAAAATTAAAAAAAAAAAAAAAAACGAAATTGAAAATATGGAAGACCTTTTTTGTATTATGTTTTCATATTTGGAGGTAAGGATGTGGCGAAACAGGGTTGACATCGAGTAGGGATAGGAAGGGATTATGGAAGATAGATTGCCAGGAGAGAGGGGATGCGAGGACGAGGTACAGAAGCACAAAAGTAGGGTGGAAGGAGCACAGGGGCAGTAGGGACGATGGGTAGATATGGAGAAGAACCTTAAGGGGAGAGAGTATGTACGATGACGAGGGGATATCCGAATCAATAGTATCAGACATTGTTCTGAGTTTGCAGGGATGAGGACGACTAGAGACATGCGGCCTGAGGGACTGCTGGGACGGCCTCCCCCGCGCCCTGTCCCCCTGCGGCCCTTCTGCTGTGTGACTGGGTGCTGCCAGTAGTAAGCTTCCCGGCGAGCAGAAGAGCCCCAGGGGAGGCCACGGTTTGGGGGTGGGATGGTCCGCAGCAGTCTCTCAGGACGAGTGTCTCTACTAGTCCTCATCCCTGCAAACTGAAAAGTCTGATACTATACATTGTATACTATATATATCAGGCCATGGTTTGGGGTGGGACGGTCTGCAGAAGAGCTCCAGGGGAGACCGTGGTTTGTAGGGTGGACGGTCCGCAGCAGTCTCTCAGGACGAGTGTCTCTATTCCTCATCCCTGCAAACTCAAATGAGACCCGATTCTCTGGTTGAGGCCGGGTGATGCATGTTGTCACCAGATAGGCAATGTGCAGACCCGATTCACCCGAAGGACACCAACGTGAGGAGAAAGGCTCAGATCTAGCAATGCGAACAGGAATGAAGCAACGCCAATGAGAATCACGATGTAGCACAGCCGCCAGAGCGGAAGACTCACATCATGTTCTGCTTCGACAGACTCACCGCTCGATACACACGAACATCACCACATATGTAGAGAGGCAAGGAGGGCGTACATACATGGACAAAAGGTCCCTCCTTGCTCACACACACATGGGAAGAACCACAGATGATGGAGGTTGGAAGAGATGAAGGTGGAAGAAGAAAAGAGGGAGAAGACGGAAAAATTGCCAATAGTCTTTCCCGACAATGCCCAGTACTTTTTTTTTTTTTTTTTTTTTTTGTGTGTGTGTGTGTGGTCCGATGGACCACGGATCAGATATTAAACTGATCAGAACAGATACTACACTTGATCTTAGCCAAAAGGCCCGACAATGCCCAGTACTCATTTCCACCAGAATGCCAAGTCTGAGTCCTGGGCGCCAACAGGTCCGAAATAGTCACTCTCCAAACTCTCTCTCTCTCTCTCTCTCTCTCTCCCTCTCTCTCTCTCTCTCTCTCTCTCTCTCTTTTCTCTGGGAATGACAATGATGCCCATGAAAACCGGGCAGCGAAGGATGATCAGTCAAGCTGATGTGGGTCGCTGATGAAGGCCAGTTCCAGACTGGTGTGAAGTCTCAGCTATGGTGCCCAGGTATGTCCCTCTCACTCTCGTGGCTATGGAAAACTCCAGCCTTTCCTCTCCAGCCTACTCTCCTAGTCCTCTATGCAGCTGCTCTAACGCATGTCTCCCAGAATAACGCTGCACTCCAGCAGCGTGCCGCCCAACTGGTGCTCCAGCACTCTGCCCTCAAACTGGAGGACTGGCCTGGCTATATAGCGCTGGGCCTTGCTGAGCAGCTTTTTTAACTCCTCCAGACATTTGGTTTCGATGTTCCGGTGTTTTTTACCTATTGATGGTGTGATAGAATGAGTTCAATTTTGAATCAACTGGCTATATTTTATGCGTTTATTAACTTTATTTGGCAAATTTCTCAAGAAGACGAAAGAGCTGACATATCTAAATTGGAGACTTGCACACAAGATAATGCTGTGAGAGGGAGGCCTGTCTGTGGGTGTGTAGAATTTTCATTTCTGTGTGCACGTGCACACAACCAATTTCCTTGAGTAGAGACGAGCATAATGCCTTCGGAGTTTTTTTTGTCATGCCCTGTTAGGCAAGCTCGGCCACCAAGTGAGTGTGATATTTTGCGGGAAGGAAACGGCTATCACTTTGAAATGTGGTTGCCATAGGTGGCATATCTAAATTGGAGACTTGCACACAAGATAATGCTGTGGTGGGGAACCTGATGTCGAACCAGAGGTAGCTGTGCTGTCTAGGAAGCAATCCTAGTGCAGTAATCGATGGTTTGAACTTTGAAGCGCTGGTAAGAGTTGCAGGGGGGCCTGCTGGTAGTTTGATAAGTGCGATTGCACACACGTTATCGCTCTCAAGAGGGTCAATCCGGTCCGTCCTCTTCCAGTGTCGAAAAGAGGAGGTATGCTCCGGTGGGTGGGTGAAGCTTGGAGCACGACCTGGATCGCGTCAACGTCGAATTAGGTACCGTCTATTATTCTTTTTTTTTTTTTTTTTTTTTTAGGTACCGTCTTTTCTAACTAGGTTGCTGGCTATGTTCTGAACATCTGATGGGGTTGTTAGTTGACAGCAACTTGACGGTGAGTGAAAGTTTAACAGCGTGTGTTAAAGCACCACAGTAACTTGGAGTTCAAGACTCCGAAGCTGTCTCTGCATCACCTGGAGGCTCCTTTTATTTTCAAAAGGCGCAGTTTTGTTGGTACCTGGTCCCCCCATTTTGGATTCAAATTCATGCGCTGTTTAGTAACAGGCACTTACTTGAGTGTATCAGTAAGCCACGTGGGCTGCGTATGGAAGCCATTGTAAAAACTGAGGTACCTTAGATGCCGTCTTTGGCATGTCTGCGAGCTCGCACATTGGCCCAGAAAACCGAATTTCTGATGCTTCTGAGATCATTTGCCGATCCAGTGCATGCGCCGTACCCTGGGAAGATCGCTCACTGGACTTCATCCATGCTGACCATGCTCGAGAATTGCGAAGTGACGATCTAAGTGTTTAGAACGTTAGAGTACTTTTATACCCTGTTTACAGTGTTCAGGGCTATGCTATTTTCTGGGCAAGTTGACGGTAATCCTTTGCTCATCCCCGCCTCCTCGTTTGACGAGGGTCACCTGTTGTCTAATCTACCAGCAGAGGATTCTTCTAATCTCCGGGTAAGTTAACCTCAACCGTAACTTTTCAACCATTATTTTTTGTACGCAACTTGAAATTCTCGTATATATGTGACAATATATATATATATACACCTCTTGTTCCCTGTTCTTTGGGATAATCCTTCTACGCTGGCTCATGCATGTGTCAGTTGCTTGGTGACATCTTTTTATGTAGACACTGTTGGTCTATCGGTGTAAGGCTCTTGGCATTGCTGCTGGTTGCACACTTATGCTGATTGCACACTCATCGGGAGACGCAGTTTCACATTTACACCAAGCTCCCTCTTTGACAATGCTGCTGACTGTGAACAGCAAACAAAAAGGACGACGGCAGGAATCCCGACCTGAGCCGTTGGGCCTAAAGTCCTGTCACCTCATGCACCCACCTCCTTTCTTTGGATTGAAAAGTTGCCAAAAAAATAAAAAAATGAAAAAAAACAAAAAGAAAAAAAACAAAAAAAACAATCGTTTCATAATCAATGAATTTGCAATTGAGAAATAATCAAGGGGCTRTTCYGATACTTCCCACCCCTTTCGAGAGATTTCCTGCCGTTGGCATGGCAGGTGCTATACCAAGCTTTCCTCTAGGTCACGCTGTCCCATTTGCTTATGCTCACATGTCGAACCGCCAGGCATCTGTATCTCATCGTGTAGATTGGCGTGCACACTTGGAGTGGAATACTAACTTGTATTCTGCAATAAGGTGGCGCAAGAAACAACTCCGTTATCTTGACAATGTTGTGCAGGCCGAGCGGTTTGAGTTACAATTGCGAGGTGTTGATCAACAACCTCTTGAGCCAGGTATGGATCCCCTCACTGTTCGAGGAGTGATTTATGCAATTGTTCATTTACCTTCTGGTCGTTTTTATGTTGGACAGACGATGCATTCTGCACACCAAAGGCTGCAAGAGCATTGGCATACACGACACTCTTCTGCTACTTTTCACCATCGCCATTTCTACCGCACAATGAGTGGGCAACCAGCATTCAACTTTGCGGCTTGGCCCCTAGAATGCATCGATCCTACCCTGTATCATACGTCTGGAGGTCTTGTTGATCATGACCTCTTTCGGAGGGTTGCTGCACCCCGCGAGGGTTTTTGGGTTCGAAAACTTCGAACGCTTCACCCAGCCGGTTTCAATGCAGTCCTTCCAATGGCTAGATTGCCATCTCCACGACGACATTTACATCCTTCCCGATGGACACATATGGGCCCTCAGCCATTCGTTCCGCAATCCCCTTTTTCTCAGCCCTCACCTGCTCCACCTATTCCTGCATCAGCTAATCCTCCTCACACATCACCCCTTTTGCCGACACCCGCTGGCTCCCATGTTGCACCTCTTTTGCCAACACCCTCTCGGCCTTTGCCTCTCCTCCCAACGCCTTCGCCTCCGTCATTTGCTGTTGATCTTYGTCCAGGTCCCCAACTCATAATTCGTACCTCACTCCATCGCCTTCTTCATGAAGCTGCTTCGGGTAACTGGTGTCGTGTCAAGGCTG